TTTTATAAAACAGCAATCACTAAAAATTCCTTCAAATTACAAATCTAGCAGCAGGTCTCTACCCTGACACTATAAAAGCCAAATTTTTTAAAGTTTCCTAAGTTTCGGATCATGGTATTTCAAAAGCTTGATTTTATACGAGAAAAGATATATTTTATTGTTCTATATTTCTAATAGCCACACTCATGAACATAACCAAGAATAATTCACTAACTCTCCTCCCTACCCATAATTACTGTACTCATCCTCAGACTTATTATTTCTGCCCCCTCCCGCCCCTATCATTTTTTGTTCTGTCATATGGTCACTTATTTAGGCAAAATAGTTTAGACCTCTATTCCTTCCCAGATTCAAGGCTCAACATCCTTTAAAAGAAGAAGAAGAGCAAGAAGAAGAAGAAAAAGAAAAAATCTTGAGCATTACAATCATATCCAGCATTTATTGTTTCTCATTAGCCATTTTAGGGGCCTTTTTAACATATTGATATGATTATGATCATATTTATCTGACAGATATTATGTATTTATATTTGTAACTATACTAACTATACTAATTAAGATGACTCCATTCTGTTCTTAGAGCTGAGGTAATGCTACACTCTTCTCTTTTCAAGGTGTTTGGCTGGAAGTATATACATTAGTTTAAATAAAGTATTCTATTAACCTTGAATCTATTCATATAACCCCATTCCTTGTCATAGGTTCAATCCCTGTGCAATCCTGTTTTGTAACCCATATTCATTTTTAGTGTAAATATGGTATGTTTTATAAATTTTTGTCCTTTTGTCTGAAAAATATTGTTTTGGAAACATGATGATCTGTGAATATTGTACTTTGCTCTATATTCCTTTTTGTATTACATTTCATTCTGGCTATAAAATATTTCAAAGGGGGGTGAGAAGGATTTTAAATCAAACAATTGGATATTGTATATATATCCATAATTGAAGTTGCCTACATTGCTATCTGGCAATACATGCCTGATGGCAACAGGGACCTCTTGTCATCGTCCGGGGGTACTTGTTTATAGTAAGGGGTGCCATTTTGATTAGGGGTCTTTGGTAAATTTGTTCTCCCTAAGAGTAAAACAATGAACTTTAAACCCTGCATTAACCTTATGGAAAAGAATTTAAGGGGACCATCCCGGGGGTGGGGTGAGCGAATTGGGGATTTTCGGATGGAGTGTTCGAAAATGAGTTATGCTCAGTTTCATATCTGTAAATGAGTGTAGAATTACCCACTTGAGTATGGGCACCCGCAATGAAAAATTTCGACAGCATGCAAAGCCAAAACCCCAAGTATCATTGCCGCTGTGTCAGCGATTTTCACCTTTCCACACTCTAGCTTTGCAGGAGTGAAAATGATGCATTGTAGTGATATTACCTATTGAAATGGATCACAGGAAGATAAGAGTGTCTTAATACAAGAGTTTTTTCCCAAAGTGAAAGATTTATGATATGAAAAACGAAGAAAAATAAAAAATCCTTACGCGACTTTTCAAATTTCTTTCCCATAAAATAAAATACATACGATTTGATTTTGACATATTCATCATGCAAAAATGTTTAGGGTTCACTGATAATACATAAGCAATTACAATTCTGTATCTCTTAAAATAAACCTGCAACAAATAGATATTTACTTGGGCTGGGTGCTTATCCGCATCAATGGCCATCTTGGAGGGACCCACGTGACAGAATTCCAAGCATCCCCACTGCTTTTGACTTTTTTTGATTGCAAATTTTTTTACATAAGTGTTTTCATTTGAAGCTAATTGATTAAACACCATTATGTCATTATGAATCCATTTAATGAAAAAAATAAATTGTAAAGAAAGAGTATGACATAAATGATTGGTGTAAACTCCTAAAATCGGCCTACAAATACCTGATACCTATTGTTACACCACAAGATGAAGCATCTACGATAAACAAATACAAGCGATTTTTCAAAATATTTTTAACATATCAATGTTTTCTGAACAGTTAACAAAAAGGAAACAATTCATTGTCCCTCCATAATTAGCTAAATGTTTATTGCTTGTTTCGAGGCGGAATCATGTGGTTTGGCGATACAGAAGAAGAGTAGAGTAGAATAAAAAGAAAATGAATAAATAAAATAAATAATTATGGATCTAATGGGTATATGCCAATATACGCATATATACGTGCACAAACATGTCCCTTTACAATAATTTACAAGTGTATACACATGTAAACAAATGTATACACAAGAAAACATTAACAAAAGAGGTAAAATACACAAAACAACCAGTTTTAAAGAATGGTCATGTTGTAATTGGGCCTGGATTTGCCCCTTTTCACAGGAGTCATTTGTTTGTTTGTTTCTACAACTCGCAACTTAATGATCAAATAACTTCTTTTTTTTACTTGTTTTTCAATTTTTCTTTTTTTTTGAACTACAGTTGATTCCTTGCCCCAGTTTCTCTCCAATTAAAATTTTGGATATATCTTTGGAAACCTTGTGAAAATGCACAGACAACATTGTATTAAATTTTTGACATTTTTATCATTTTTTTATATGAATTTTTGAAAATAAAAAAAGAGGTAAATATGATTTTTCTTTCTTTCTTTATTTTTTTTTCTGAGGAAACTAAATCGAGAGAGAGAAAAAAAAAAAAAAAAAAAAAAAAAAAAAGGGATACAAAGTTGTAGTAGGAATTCATTGATGTTCATTCACATTTTTTTCAAGATATAATTCATAATCCTCTGGGACAAGGACTCAACCGCACAGGGATGTTATAAAAGATTGAAAAAAAAAAAAAAAAAAAATAAAATAAATAAAATAAAATAAAATAAATAAACAGTTTTTTTTTGCAGGAGCCATTGCCCTGCATTTTTTTTCTTTTTTTTTATTTTTTTTTTTATTTTTTTTACATTTAACAATATGACTCCCCCCATTTAGGGACGGTCCCCTTAATGGTATGTTTTGCCAAGATGTGCTGATATCCTTCAATAGAACAATAACCCTTGCCATGCTTTAAGGGTGATGAAGAAGTGGCTGTCTGACAGACAAGTGGAGTTCATAGATGATTGGAATTGGAATTTTTTTGGGATTTTGAAAGCATGACTTCAAAAGGAAAACATCTTTACAATCTTGGAGATGGAGGAGGTCAATGACAATTTTGGCAAGAAATATCCACCTTTCACCTTGCTGTTTCTGTGACCTACTCTGAAAAAATCATTTAGGCAAACAAGTACTATAGTTATCTTAAATTAATTCTTTCTAGAGTTTTTTCCTTATACCTCATTTTGAATTGCTCTGACAAGGCAGACAGATACACATAGGTATAGAAAAAGACACCTACTGTCAGCTGTTCAGGTGGAGGCAATTCCAACTTATCCCAGTGCACGTTCCACTTCTGGGGGAGATGTCCCAGTTCCAGCTCCAAATGACGCAACTCCTCCAGCTGTGCTGTGAAAGTATCTGCCTGGACTCCCCACACACAATCATATCTTTATGAAGAAACAAATGTCAATGATTAAAACTAGAATATTTTACAAACTGATGTAAATATTGTGCTGAGAGAGAAAAAAAGAGAGAGAGAAAGAAATGAGAGAAAAAAGAAAGAAAATCGTATAATAGTACACACGCATGCACGCACGCACGCACACACACACACATGTATGTATGTATGTATGTATATATATATGTATATGTATGTGTATGTGTGTTGTGTGTGTGTGTGTGTGTGTGTGTGTGTGTGTGTGTGTGTGGTGTGTGGTGTGTGTGTGTGTGTGTGTGTGTGTGTGTGTGTGTGTGTGTGTGTGTGTGTGTGTGTGTGTGTGTGTGTGTGTGTGTGTGTGTGAGTGTGTGTGTGTGTGTGTGTGTGTGTGTGTGTGTGTGTGTGTATACACACACACACACACGGAGATCCTGAGGCTGAGAGGAATTCCAACAAGGATCATTGGACTAATAGCAAGTCTATATACTGGTACTAAAAGTGCTGTTAAGTGTAGTGGGGGCCTGTCGAGCTTCTTTCCTATTAGTTCAGGAGTGAGGCAAGGCTGTGACCTTGCACCAACACTTTTCAATACTTACATGGACTGGATAATGGGCAGAGCTACTGTTCAAAGTCATTGTGGAGCAACTCTGGGCAATGTCAAGGTTACAGACCTTGACTTTGCTGATGATGTTGCAATTCTATCTGAGTCTTTGGAAACCTTAGCAGTGGCTCTGGATGCATTTAGTAATAAAGCGAAGGACATTGAAGTCACGGAGAGCTTTACATACCTTGTAGTGTAGTTCATAATTCTAAGCTGTCAGACCAAGAAGTCAGCAGACGGATTGGCCTGGCAGCAGGGGTCATGAACTGTCTTGACAATATTATTTGGAGATGCCTGTACCTGTGCAGAAGAACCAGGCTACGGGTTTTCAAGGCCCTAATAATGCCAGTTTTGCTATATGGTAGTGAAACCTGGACATTATCCTGTGCCTTGGAGTCTCGTCTTGATGCCTTCTGTAATAGGTCCTTGCATTGGTTCATGGGGTACAGTTGGTGGGACCACTTGTCCAACCAACGGTTGCACTGTGAGACAGGCACAGGACCTGTTACCTGCACAATCTGTGATCGCCAACTTAGGCTATACGGACACTTGGCTCATTTCCCACAGGATGATCCTGCCCATCAGGTTGTCTCCGTAAGAGACAACCCTGGGTGGAGGAGGCTTGTGGGACGACCTAAGAGCTCGTGGCTTGGGCAGATCGATCAAACCTGTTGTGAGGAGCTCGAGATGGGCTTAGCCCCTGCCTGGCAGTTTGCCATGAGGGACCGCAAAAGGTGGAAACAAAGGGTGGATGCAGCTATGCGCCCCTGTCGGCATTAGCCCCCTAATGATGATGATATATGTGTATATATATATATATATATATAATATATATATATATATATATATATATATATATATGTAAATGTATCTATAAATATTAAATATATAAATATATATATATAATATATATATATATATATATATTATATATATATAATATATATATATATATATATATATATATATATATATATATATATATATATATATATATATAATATATATATATATATATAATATATATATATATATGTAAATGTATCTATAAATATATAAATATATAAATATATAAATACACACACACACACACACACACACACACACACACACACATATACACACATATATCCATCTATATCTATATAACATATATTACATACCCACTAATAACAATCCTGCGTTGGGAAGTGGTTGTTGTGCCATCTGCAGCTTCTGCTTCCTCCTCTTGTTGTCGGTCAAGGCTGCGCACCTCAGGGTCATAAGAAGGGCCATGGCGTAGTTCTTCTCCTATCAAGTAGCTCCACAACTGAAGTGCACTCAACTCCTTCACTGGCCTCAATACCTTTAAAGCATGGAAATCAATGTTTGGTACTTTGGAAAAGACATTGGAAGGCTTAAACTAAACTAATTTCAACATTATCCAACTGCTTACTGCCTCTTTTTAGCTTCATTTCTTAATCAATTATTTATGCTCCAGTCAAGAGCATTGAGAATGAGTAACATCTAATTTCTCATTCGAGCAACTGGCTAAGATATCCAGCATGTGACTTGGTATGGTCCCAAGAAATCTCATGCAGAGTTGGTAAAAATGCTATCAATCATAATAATAGTAATACAGTTAAAAACTCTTCCTGTGCATTCAACAAAAGAGGGCAAATTTCAATATCAAGGAAGCTAAGCAACTGAGTCCTTGGTGACAAAGATCTTCTGGAGCCATATATGTGTAAACAATATTATATATGCACTCACAGTAGCAATAAATAGTAAACACTTCTCTTTTGCCTTTTTCCACTTTAATGAAACACTGCTTAAAAATCATCCTGTTTTATGCCTGCAATATCCCTCTCAATATCATTTATATTCCAATTTGTGGGCAGGAAGGCTGATCATCCCACTATGCCATGACTGTGGCATTATTTACTTCTGCTTTCTTTCTCATTAGTTATGCATTTAATTAGTATCTCTTCATTCTTAGATTAATCAAATAAATGTATGAATGCACAACATATCAAAATACATACTGCAGAATCACTAATTCTGTCTCCAACGTAAAGGAAATTGTAAAAGCTGGAGTGGCGACCACTGTGTTTCTCTATGTAGTCAAATACAGATGTGCCTAAGTGTCCTGAAGAACCTGGTGATGACACTCTTCCTCCTGGAAAAGGTATAGATACTGAGCTTCTTATAAAATACAAAAAAAGAAAAAGAAGTTCCCACTTATCCATTTTCTATTAGTTCATCAATTCTGAGCATCAGGAATCTATTAACCAGTGTTCCTTAGCTTACAACCAGTGCAACCTACAGACCTCCTGGATAAATGTCATCATCCTGCGATGCCTCTAAACCTTTGTGGTGTCTTGACAAGGAACCTCGCTTGTCTTCCTCTGTCATGATGCCCAACTCTGCCCTCTCTAGTTCTGAATCACTCAAGAATGTGCGGAAACGAGCTGATACATAGTGGTAAGCCAAAAAACGGAGGTAGTATTCATTGAATTCAAAAGATAAGGGAAACTGCCGCTGGATCTGAGGAAAAAAATTGTTCTGAGAAAACAGCACTAAATATTTTTCATCTAGTCTCATAAAAGCACATTACCAGACTGCCCAGACTTGCGTGCAGGCAGTGTTGAATAATTATATTAGTAAAATCAAGCATGATATCAGCCCAAAGAAATTTTTACCTGATGGACAGCATCTAGAAATTGTAGGAATATAGGAGCAAAGCCACTAGCTTGGGATCCCTGGAGGAGATTTGAGCGGTGATTGAATCGATGACCAAATGCAAGCCACTCTTTCTCAATCAGGACTCTGAACCCTTCAATAGTGCGGTAGTATGGATCCAAGCAGAGTTGAGCTATGCTGGTTACCTGAAAGATTTGTCAAAATAATAAACATCCAATCATAATCACAGTATGGTTTCATATAATTAAACTTACAGCTGATGCCTATTCTCCCATAGAGTACTGTCTGTCAATATAAAGCATTATCAAAAAGGAAAAATTTTGATAATATTCTGATGACAACACCATTTCAGCTGAATTGTGAGTTCTATACAAATCATATCTCAAGAAAAGCTAGTCACTTACCTGAGCAGTGAAGTCCCATCCATCCTCTAGGAGAAGCATAACTGATGCTCCTAACAAATCAATCAGGTCAACAATGGCCCCTGCTACCTGCAGGAGGGTCTCCAGCTGATTCAACCATTCACTATTCTCAATTGCTCTGTGGGGGGAAAAAAAGTTAATGAAGCAGCAAGGATGTGAGCCTGGATAACCGATGCTCCAGAAGCTTCACCCTCGCATGTAGTCCAAAATACTGGCATTAAGCTTACTTGAACAGCCAGTCTGTCAAGTGTGTGGCTTGCAGGTTGGGCACACAGGAACAAAACTCCATGCCTCCCTTTTGCAATGTTATTTTCTGAATTTTCTGCAGAA